CAAACCTAGTATATATAGAGCGCTCAGTTAAGTGTGTATAGGGAAATAACTAACAACACTAGAATTTTGGTTTTCTCTATTTCATTTATAACAACAACAACAATAACAAGAATTATAATAACAAACATTCAAAACTTTTGTTCAGTTCTTTTTGTATGGGAAAGGGTCTCCTCATGTACAAATAGTCTGTTTCACAAGCACAGTCCATGATATCATATCCTTTTTGGATAACTTCTTTCAGATAGTCTTGCATACAATCTCTGGCTTTTTCCATCCATTTCCCATGAATCCAAGTCTTCTCGGGTCCCTGTCTTCGGTGAGCCAAGACGTATTTGACTTTCCATTTGAATTCTCCATAGTCAGGTGATCTGGGTCCTAATAAGACCGTGATTTTGCTTCCTTTGCGGTCCGGTAATTTCATTCTCTTATACAGGTATATTTCATTGAGACCTGTTTGTCCTGGATTCTAATCAAAGAAATCTTGAATACATTTCTCTTTGTTCCTCATCCATTCTCCCTTTAAAGTAGTCCCTTCAGGTTCTTCTATTTTCCAACGATACTCTGAGCTTAAAAAATCCATGATGTGTGTGCTCTGTCCCTCACTCAGATCGGAATAGACCCCCCTTGGGTTTGGGTGTCTCCTTTTTATATAGACACTAACTTCGTGAATTCGTCTTCTTGATCGTAGGGGTTTGATGCATCATGGTAGGACTAGGCATGATGTAACCGACCGAAGAACGCACACAGACCATCCAATATTCTCGATTAGGATCGTGCAAAGCTAACATGACCACACTGGTGATGATGAGGGAAATAAATGAATAATTGTGCAAAATACACAATTTCTCTCGAGGAATATGCTCTCCACAAAATTTCCAATGAGGAGTTACTGGATGAGATCCGTTTGAGGAATCCATGAATGGAAACTAGGGGGATATCCTTTCCACCTGACTTTGACTTCTTGAATGATTTTCTTCCCGACTCGTCGCTTTTTATACCCCAAGATTTCCTCCACTTCGTACACGTCGTGTTTTTTAATGATCTGTTGTAATTCTTTCTCGTAAAACGTCCCTTCCAATTCCTCTTTGTTGTAATCCTGTACTCGATACACCTAAGGATACCGACCGGGGACTCTTTGAGCAATGGTAAATATTTCCGTGGTCCAGTTAGGTAAATATCCTTTTTCAAAGTTGCGTTTGGCTTTACTGATGCGGACCTTATCTCCTGTTTTAAACTTGGGGGGTTTCTGTTTAGGAGATGTTTGTGATTCCCCATATAAAGTTTTCCAGACTTTTAACACATTCGAGGGCTTCACTTGAGCTGGGGCTCTTTGGATACTGCGATGATACGTATGATTGTAAGCATACACTAAATCCGGTAAGACCTCTAAATACCGTCTGGTTTTATTCCGAGTGAAATACCGCCACATGCGTGCTTTGAGGGTTCTCTGAAATCGTTCCACGATACTGGCTTTGGTGTCCGTATTACGAGTGGTAAAGAAATGAATGGATTTAAAAGCCTGTAAGAATTCTCTGTTGGTAAATTCTTTGCCTTGATCCGATTGAATGCGGACGGGACGTCGACCGTCTTGTCGAAAAATCTCTTGTAATCCTCGAATCATTTCTTTTCCCGTTTTCTGTCTTAAAGGCACCACCCAAGCATATTTAGATAAGACGTCAATGGCACACAATAAAAAAGTATAGCCGTCATTGTGTTTCTTTAAACTGGACACATCGGCTAAATCTAATTGCCATTGTTCGTCTATATCCGTCACTCTCGTCTGTTGTCTCCGGAATTTTCTGTGAATTGGTTTATGTAAGGTATAGGTATCTTGCTCTTTTAACCATTCTCGTATGGTGTTCAAAGAAATCTTATGCCCCAGACTTCTGACCTGACGATACAAAGTCTGTATTCCTCCATACCCTCTCTCGGGATCGTAATAAATCTCTTTTAAAATGTCTTCTACTTTCCTCTTTTTCTTCTTCATTTCTTAGGCAAAGGAAGCCAATCTTCGTCGATTTGTTGTAATTTCTTCTTTGCTTCTTCTTGGGCTTTTAATTGCTTTTGGGCTCGAAAGGGACTATATTTAGGTGTGAATTTCTTTAGCACCCTGGATCTCTCTTCTACAGGTCAACTAATAGGGGTCAAAAAGGAAGAAGAAGCATCTTGAAATCCGCTCTCTTCGTCGTCCTCGTCACTGAAGATCACTTTAGGAGTACTGATTTTTCCCGGTTTCTGCATGGCTTTTATAAGGTTTTGATTTTGCAAGTAAACCATGGGAGTACGGGTCTCTTTTAAAGCTTGAGCAAATTCATCTAATCCTTCAGAAACAGGTTGACTTTTGAGAGGTCTAGATCTCATGCTATCAGCCATTAAATCCACAATGTTAGAATCGGGTACTTTTTGACCTCGGTAACTGATTTCTCCGTCTTTATCCCAAGTCAATACTTTGGTTTTCTTTAAATGATTTAATAATAAATAAGCTTTTCTTTGCATGGGTTTATTCATGCTTTGAATGATTTGTTGATCGATCTTGGGGTCTGGAGCTGCTGCTGCTGTGGGGGCTGGGGCTACTGCTGGAGCTGCTGTTGCTGCTGCTGCTGCTGCTGCTGGGGCTACGGGTGCAGGGGGTGGTTTTTTTGGTAGTCGCTGGCTCTCTCGCTTGTTGTAAATAATTCTTATACCGATGAAGTTCTTGACCATATAAAGCCACTTTTTCTTCTGGGTTTAAATCTTCACGTCTTGTAATCTGGTCCAATTCTTGACCTATACTCAGAGTAGATTGAAATTCCGGAGGTTTAGGGAGTTTTCCTTTGAGTTCATTCAACAGAACTTCGGGCACTAACACCATTTTACGACTCATTTTTGTTTCTTCTTCTTTTTCTTTTGAATGGCTTTGTAGATGGAATGACCGGTATTCAACAGTAAAGGGGCTGCTGTGATTAAAAGAAGAAAAAGATTTCCTCCTTTTTGTTGTACTAATAAAGCTCGTCTTTTCTGGACGGATTGGGGTCGGACCAGTCTCCTTAAGATGTGTTTCTTAGAAGCTAGTTTTCGTTTCTGAGCCGAATTGAGAGGTAACACCCCTTTTAATAGGTTGTAGACGATCTCACAAATTTTCAGGATACAACCTCCAGAACAATGTTTTAAAATCCCGGTTTTTAAAGAAGAGGAATAATGAGGGTCCGATAACACTCTTAAAAGAGGGGCATGAGCTCTTAATCGCGTAGAACATCCCTTTTTCTTCTTCGCCATCTTTGAAGACAATTAAGAGAAGTCTTTCATACCACTCCCTTTTATAGTGTCTCTTAGGGAGGGGCATACCCTCCGTGTTTGTCGCTCTCGTGTTTATCTCTAGTTTTCTCCCTGACATAAATTTTTCAACAATATCGGCATTTATATCTCAGGCCTTTAGGAAGTTTAGGGGTGGAGGCCGTCAAGGTTTGAAAGCGTGTTATTTTAGGGGAATGAATGGGAACTTTAATTCCGGGGGAGGAGGAGGGTATGCCCACATTCACTCGAGGAAACACCTCTAAATCGCTGGCTCTTTGACTGCCTATGGGTCCCATAGCACGATCCATTCTCAGTTCTGCTTGTTTCTTGAGCAACTCTCCTATGGTCTTTTTGTCTTTGTTCTTTATAATACTGATGGATTTTGTTTTTTAGACTTTCGGGCATGGCTTTACATTGAGCTAGAGTTTGAGGGGTGGTGGCTTTTCGCCTTTTCGCCGCCGCTGTTTTCTTGGGAGCCCTTTTTCTCTTGGGAGGGGCTTTTTTCTTGGGAGGGGTTTTTCTCTTGGGAGCGGCTTTTCTCTTCTTCTTTTTTCTGCTCTTTTGAGCTGCTCCTCCGACTCGCATCATCCAATCCGGAAACACTCTTTGTTTCTTATTATCGACTCTCACCACTACACTCTTCAAACGACGAACCCGTCGTTTTTTAGGACTATTCCATTTAAATAAATGACGAATGATGACTCCGCCTAGAAATCCAGCTCCTCCGCGTTTTAAAATAGCCGTTTTTCTGTCTTGATCACTGGCCGATTTATCGGCAATGATCTTTAAATCTCGACGATGATGATCGATAAACTTTTGGGTCTGTTTATTAATAGGTAAGACCCCTTTCATGAAATTGCGAGCTCCCATGGCAAACCAATTCAATAAGGCTTTATGCCCTAATTCGATTAAATGGGCTCGCTTCGCGGGATCTTGTTCCCGCTGCAAACGTCGTAAGGTTCTCACTAATTTACTCTTGGCCGATGGAGCCATGATGAGATTGAAATGAACAATGACCAAGAGGAGTGTGAGACACTTTTATTTATAACCTTGAGGCATGTGTACAGTCAACATTTCAAACATTCGACTTCTCAATCGGTATTCGTCTGGGGTCTGGGGACTCAGGTCGACCAGGAGATATCCGTGAGGTACCTGGGTGGCTTCTTGATAAGCAGACATCAAATGAGGCAAGGCTAACTGTCGACTCAACACACTGATCTGAGACTTGTCTCTGGGATTTTTGAATAAGACTAAATAATGAGCATTCAAACTAATGGTGCGATGAGAGGCGGCTCGATCAAATAAATTCTGAGTGATGTAAGTCACACTGGTATTCCGATGATGCGCTTTGCGGGTAAACCAATCCACAATAGATTCGATGGCTTTTCCTCCCATCATGTCGTCAAAAATGAGTAAGTGTGGCACACTCAAATTGGCTACTAATTTCTCGTCGTCTTCTGGGATATTTCGGATGAAAGATACTTTATATTTTAAAGAAGTGTAAGCGGGTTGCCATTCTCGATAACACCAGACGATTTTTTCGGGCATGGGAGTGATCCAGTGTACATTGTTCACTAATTTCTTGACGAATTCTGTTTTGCCCGATTTCGAGGGTCCTGCGACCACCATGGTAAACTCGTGTTTCAGTTGAAAAGAGGGGAGGGGTGTCTCCTCGGAATACATGTTGATCAATGAGGGAAGAGGTGGGTTCAGGGTCTTATTTATAGTTAACACAGAAATATGCGTTTGGGTTGTTGAATCTGGCCTCGACAGATGGGGCAAAACTGAAAGGGAGGAGCACACAAGGCAGAGCAGCATACGTGTCCACAAGGTAGAAAAGCGATTTGTAATTCTTCGTCTAAACAAATGTGACATTTTCCTCGAGCCTGGACGTCTGGTTCTGGGTTCAGTAAAGGTTTGATCTCAGGTAAAGGTTTATACCCCTGTTGTTCTAAGAAGCTGACAAATATACCCATCAGCCAGCTTCGTCCTTTATACTGATTGATGTAAGGACAATTAGGCCTAAAATAGGCATGTTCTGCATAAGGATTGTCCTCAAGCTCCCAATTGGTTAAAGTCAATCCACAATGAAAACAGACTGTCTTGTCCTCATAACCTTTGTAGAAAAACCCGGTTCGAGCTATGTCTGGTATTTTGCCTAAGAGAGGCTCTGGCCATCCCTTCTCAAAAGTAGCTTCTCTGTTTGAGAGCTGATCATACTGAGGATGATGCATGGGTTCGTCTGGCTCGTGACTACCCATGATTTAAAATGACCTTTGATTTTGATTAAGAATACCTTTTATAGAGAGTATGAAGAAGAAAAAATAACACACAAAACAATAATCAATTCAATTTTTTAATTCAATGTCAACATTGAACATATCAATAACCATAAGGTAAAGTGTTATAAGAAGGTAACAATTGTCTCTTATCGTACATAATTCTGTACTGTTTGTCTAAAGGTTTGGTCACGACGTCATGATCACGGGTCCTCTGTATTTTGTTGGGATAAGGTACTGTGACTTCCTCTTTTTCTCCCTTGAGCATTTTTTCTAAAGTCTCTAGGGAGACGATCTGGGAGGTTCGATAGTTGAGAGTCAATCCTTTGACTTTATGGACCTCGGTTCCTTTGGCGGTCCGGTAACCATAATTTTTAGGGCCTGCCGACATGAATTTGGTGATGTGATCCCCGTCTAATTCGACGGTCCATTCTCCTAAACTGTTGCCCAAGGTAGGATTAAAGGCTCCTTCCCGATGTTGGTAAATGATACTGTCCGTATCGAAATAAAGGACCCGATCTCCTAAAGATTGTAAAGTCTCGTAGAGGTGTAAGCGGGCATGCGCGGTGGTAAAACAAGCCAGGACCACGTTTCCAAAGGGACATTCTTCTACGAATTCCTGTTTGTCTTGGTAATTCTCTAGCATCTTGTCATAATTAGGATTCTCTTTATTGTCTAAGAGTCGCATGCCCTTGATGTCGAGAGTCGAATCTTGTAAGAGTTGCTGTAATTCCTCTTCTTCGTCCAAGTATCTGGTTTTGGGTAATAACAAGCGTTGAGCAAATTTTCCCCACAGACAATTTAAAAAGAGTTTAGCGATGGTTCTTCTCACTGGATTCTTCTCGATACTGAAAATGTCCATCATGATGCCTTCTTTGTCTAAGACTTGTCGAATGTAATCTTGTTTTTGTTCTGAGGTCTCACAGTCGGGGGGAAATCCGGAGGCTTCCTGTTTGATCTTGAGGAAGGTATCGATGTAGTGTCTGAATAAATCCTGTCTGCTTTCTTTAAAATGCCACACTTCGTGCATTCGCTCTAAGGTATATCCCATGTCCAGGGCTTTATGTAATTCGGTCGTCACCCAGGTGCCCGTGAGACTGCGTTCCTGGTCGGTGTGTTGACATCGATGTTGAGAAGTAGAGTCCTGTCGTTCGGCACAAGTTCGACATAAGGGAAATAATAACTTGCCTCCCGTCCGATAAGGTAATACGGGGTGATAGAGGCCTCGGAGTGGTAAGACCCGACAGTGAATGAGACCAAAATAACTTCTCACGTCCTGGAACTCGTCTGTGATGATCTCGGGATGCCCCACAGGAAAAGGTCTGTGTTTCAACACGTAAGGGTATAGGGAACAGACGTCCACGTATCTCATGTCCCCTTCCTCACAATATAATCGAGTCGCATTGGTCCGGCCTCCGTACAGGGCTTCTCGGGGGTTCAAAGGATCGGGAATGTCCAGGTCTCGTACAAAATGCTGTAAACTCACATCTCGTTGCACTTGCTGATCGAAATCGTGCTCCCAGATGCTACGAACATTGTACCCCATTTCCTCCAAGACCGCAGTCCTTCTGAGAGTTCCCTCGTGTAATTCCTGGTAAGTAAACTGGGTCCGGTGAGGATGAGTTTCGGTCTGTAGACTGGGATAGCAGGTGGGGCATCCGTGCCAATAGCACCCGTAAAATTCGTAGACGGTACGAGTCGCTTCCTGGTATCCGTCGACGGTATAATTTCCGATCTTGACTTCGCCCCCGTTTCTGGCATGGCGTATGTGACATCCGCTCTGCTGTCTCATCCAGGTGAGCCACCGACAGGCTTTGGCCGAATATTGTCGAGCTGGTTAATACCTCAGGTTAGGAATGATGGCAATGGTCTCTTTATCCATGAATAATCGACGGTAGGCTAAATTGGCAGCACTGGCAAAAGTGATAGATTCCTGAAAAGGGTCCACTTTGACCAGGTTTTTGAGGGTGGTTCTAAACTCTGCACAGCATCGTCGTAAAATGTCGACGTCCGAGATACAATACTCCACAAACTCTTTCTGGAAATCAAACACTTTTCCGGTCTGTTGTTCGTACCATTCGAAAAAAGCCTGTCGTCTACTGATAGACATTTCGTCCGGTTTGTAGAAAGCTGCCGGTGGATAAGGCCCCACGTAATTCTGGTTCTGTTCCGTATTTAAAAAGTGGGGGAAATAGCCTTTCTTCAATTCGTTGAATCCGAAAGCCGAGGGCATCTTGGCCAAAGCAAACGGTAAGAAATTATACGAGTCTATGAATTTCAATCCGCAAATTTCCATGTACAAGATCTTACTGCCGTTCATGATGACGTTAGGTTTCAGGGAGGCAGAATGTACCAGGTGATTCAAAATGAACTGTCCGTCGTATCCTTTGAAGTTATGGGCGATGACGATGGCCTCGTCGTGTACTAAAGTGGAATTCTTAGTACCTGTTGTCGGTTGTAATACCCAGTCCATGAACTTCTTTAAGGTTTCTGATCCTTTAAATATGTGCTGACGGGGTCCCATGTGTTGACAATGAGGGCAGGGCCGGTCTACGGGTAAATGACCGCAATGTTGACAGACGCGGTGTGCCACACACAGATTAGGGACGTGGATGCCGGTTTCCTGAGTACATTCGAAATCGAAATAGATGTAAAACTGTAAGGTCCCTTTCCCCTTCTTTTTCTTCTCAGGCTTCTGCTGAACGTAGCACTGATGATCGGCATCGACGATTTTCTTACAGATCTTACATTGTTACTGTCCTCCGCACTTGTGATGAGGGAGAAATTTTTTGGACATCCATATCTGACACTTCTCGCATCGTCCCATTAAACTGCATACACTGGTGGTGGTCTTCTTACTATGCTGTCTTAAATGATTTTCGTAGCAGGTCCTGTTCTAAAAAATCCTTGGCACTGCTGACATTGAATGTGGGTCCCGTCTTCGGGGCATGGCGTGTCCGCTAAACAAAAGGAACAGCGATGAGGGCACTGAGTCCGATGGTGTTCTATATGACTGTACCCCACATCGCAATGATCCCAGTAATAGGGGTTCCCCGTCACTCCAGGCATCGATAGGATGGCATCGCAATGCTCTTTGTCTAACAAAATGTTCAAACAAGTTCCGTTTCCCCAACCTTTGTAGATAGGCTCTAAACAGAGTTTACTCGAAGTGGTCTTGAACTGAAATATTTTAAGTCGATATTGAGGGGCTAATACCTGTTGTAATTTCACCCATTCTCGGGGTCCACAAGACTGATTGATATCACACTGGGCCTGTTCCATGAGGGCTAGGGCTTCTCTTTTCTGGTCCAAGGACTTAAAATCTCCTTTCCGCATACGTAACCATCGTTTTTCCCATTCGGGGTCTGGATGTTCCGGTTTCTGACTGTGTAATCTAGTAACGACGATGGCTCTAGCCAAACAAAATTTATCCCAGGGATTGACGATCCGAACGATGGCTCTTTTATTGTTCTTAAAACTCTCCTTATTCACTTGTAAATGTTTAGTATTCTGTCCACCACTGCCTTGTGGATATTTGACATGAAACAAATCGAATTCCATGGAGCCGTCGCCCAGTTTGAACTCCTTTTTGGATTGTTGAACGGCTTCTATCTTGTCTAAAATGAGGTCATCGTTCAAATGTTTACATTGCGTAAACTCGTACCAAATCTCTGAGTCCAGAGAATTGTGGCGTATGTTCAGGCGTAAGTAATCGTTAGGATTACACTGCATTTCAGATTTTACCGTTTGTAACATGTCTCTGAATAATCGCCGAACGAATCCTCTGTTTTCCTCCTCTGGAAACTCTTTGAAATTGACTGTGTAGATATTTTCCTGAGCTTTAAATTTTCGAGAATGTTTAGTTTCATAAAGTCTTACTTGATAATACTTGGCAATCAACTTGGGTTTCGGTGGTGAATGAATAGGTGATTTTGGTCCCTCATGCGCCCTAGTCCTTTGTTGATGCTGTCGTTGTTTTTGTCTTTGTTGTTGTTCTAGTAGAGCTCTTCTCTTTAATATTTCCGCATTTTTTTCCGGAGCTTTAATTCTTGCTTTCTTTTCTCATAAAGAATTCGATCTAACTCTCTCTCCCTTCTTTTCCATTTCAATAATCGTTGAGCTTGTAACTGTTTTTCTCTAGTAGAATTCATGTCAACAGCTGATGGATCTGACTGTAAAACGAGACGAAAGTCGGAGAAAAGCCGTATTTATACAGTGGATGACGTCACAATGCATAGGTAAGGTCGCTGACTAGATAGTGTACAAAATCGTACACAGTACGATCAAAACGAAAGTCCAACTTATTTTTGCACACGACCCTAAACAAACCCATGCTATATAAACCAGGGCTGGACATAGATGATCACTCTTCGTTAGTACTTGAAACTCGAAAGACGTAAAATATGGCAGAGGAAAATTCAAAGGAGACTGTACCAGAAACACAGGATCTTTTAGACCTAGATGAAAGAAGTTTACTATGCGGTATCTTAGGAGAAATGATCATTGTTATGCAGGGAATGAAAGAAGTGCTGACAGGGATTCGTAATCTAGGAAGGGAGGCAGACCAGAAGAAAAATAAAGGAGAGTCCACCCAGCACTCACAAGAGGTAACTACCCCAGACTGTTTACTATGCGTTATCTTAGAAGAAATGGCTACTATCATGCAGGGAATGAAAAAAGTGCTGAAAGAGATTAGTGATCTAGGAAGGGAGGCAGACCAGGAGAAAAAATAAAGAAGAGTTCCGCCAGCACCCACAAGAGGAAAATTCTGTATGTATTTTTGATTCTGAATAAAATCCGTTATTGTCTATATTGTGTGTTAGTGTTATTGTTTTCGGAAAATCCAGTTTGAACCGGCTGGGCTAGACTGTGAATGAAAACGTGAAGTCATAATCACATTCTTGAATCGCTGCCAAATCGCAGTAGCAGCGTTGAATCGTAGTAGCAGCGTAGTAAAAAGCTATAGTGTAAGCGCCCTATTG